ATAAATATGTTATTTTCCCCCTTTCCAATAAGTTGTGTTGACTTTGCCCCAGCTGCACAGTCTAGAGGGGATGGATACCATTTCCTACCTTCTCAGAGAGCTTTGTCTGTATGTTTGCTATGTGTGACTTCTCCATGACTACTTGATCTATTTCATCTAGGCTTTTCATCATAAAAGTCCTTCTGACACTGGCTTTTCCCCCCCTCTTTTCATCTTCACAGAAAAACTTCTTGAAAGCTTTAAATAAACAGGAAGTTTAAATTTCCTAACCTCATGTACAGTCCTCAGCCCATTCCTACTTAATTTCTATCCCAACCACTTCAGCAAAGCTGTGTGTGGTAAGTATATTTCACATCTGTTTTGGTTCAGTTCTGTTGAACTCTCAGCATCATTTGACTCTTTTTACACCTTTTCTTCTTGAAATATAACTTTCAAGATACTACACTCTGGTGTTTTTCCAGTGCCTCTATTGCATCTAAGTCTTACTGGGGGAGAAGAAAGGGGGTGTGGTTTCTTCTTCCCGTATAGCATTACAGTTGCTTGGGATTCAGTTCTTAACCCTCTACTCTTCACTAACTCAAGAAATACTCTTTGAACATCTATGCTGTGCCAGCAGACCTACATGGTAGGAAACATCAATGAGTATCACATATACCAATCCTTTATTAGAGTAATATCTAAAATTAGATATTATTTGTTGGGGGATTTTATTTTCATCCAGGCTTCGAAGACCATTCACCTGTTAAGACTGACAGCCTTATGGTATATGTCTCCAAGCCATGGCTATTTTCTTATATCTATACCCACACATCTTACCAATCGATTTGACATTTCAAATTTTACAAGTACATAACTGATCTTATATTTGATCTTTATTCTTCAAATCTTGCTCCTCCAACAATATTCTTCACCTTGAGAAATGACATCAACAATGCTCAAGTTGCCCAACCCAGAAAGCTGAGAGTCATCATCATGGACTGAATCCTATGTATTGCAAAGGCAGAGTTAATCTATGCCAACAATGTGTGTGGAAGTTATTCATTCTTTTCTTTTTTCATTGCCATTCAACCCTTACTTGTTCTTATACATATGAGCTATAATAATCTGTTTATAATGCTTATCTATTAATATAACTTCCCTGCTTAAAATTATTGCTTCTTTCAAGATGTTTTAAAATTACGGTTTTTAGAAGCCTTTAGATCATCTGGGTTCTAGTTGTATCTTCAGTCATACACCTCCAGGTTCTCTTCCAGACATGACTTTTCTAATTCCTAAAGAAGATCAAGCTCTTTCCTGTCTCAGAGATTCCTCCCATGTAACATATTTTCCCTGGAAGCTTCATTCCTGCCAGTTTCCTTTGGAAAATCACTTTCTAAAGGAAAACCTTTCTTAGTTGTCACTATTCATTGGTTATTCTAACTTGTATTGAAATGCCTGTCTTGCCTACTAGACTGTGAAATTTTGGGGGCCAAGGGCCAGTTCTGCACTTTTCACAGATGAATCCTTTGTACTCATTTAAGTACTTGTCTTAAAGCCCAATAACTCTGGAATGAATAAGTGAATAGATCTTAACATTGCAGAGCCAGAAAAACTAACTTTAGAGATGAAGAAACAGATATCAAGAGAAGTTATGTGACACGAACAGATGTGGGAATATAAACCAGAATTCTATCCATTTTCCTTCCAAGTCTTATCCATAAGCTTTCAGCCCACAA